GGGTTGTTTCCACAGCTTTGCAATTGTGAACTGTGCTGCTATAAACATTCGAGTGCAGGTGTCTTTTTCATAGAGTGACTTTTGATCTTTTGGGTGGATGCCCAGCAATGGGATTGCTGGGTCCAATGGTAGATCCACTCGTATCGCTTTGAGGTATCTCCATATTGCTCTCCACAGAGTTTCTCCAAGGTTTCCCAACCACTACAGTGACAACTCAGGGCAAAAAAAAGAAACTGTGTCAGGCAGAGAGCCACATAAAATTGTGATCCCCGTCGCTGGCATTTGGGAGATTCAGGGACAGTCACGTGTTCCAGGAGACTCCACGCTCAGGAGTAATCGTCCACACTCAGGGCTGAGTGGCAGGGAGAAGCCTGTATTTGTATTTCAGTATTTATCACATCAGCGAGTCACATTTTCTTGGATTTATCTTTTCTGCCTTGTATTCGCTCTTCCCTACTCCTGAAATGTGAGTTTCTAAGAGGAATGACCCTTCCTTACTGTTTGAGTTTCTTCTCTTCTCTCTTTTTTTTTTTGTATTTTTTGTTGCTACATCATAGCTGTACATATTTTCAGGGCACATGTGATATTTTGATACATGCATATACAATGTTTAGTGATCAAATCAGGGTGATTAGGATGTCCATCATCCCAACTTTTACCTTTTCTTTGTGTTGGGGACATTTCAGTTCTCTTCTAGCTATTCTGAAATGTACAATGAATGATTCGTGTTGCTTGGCCGGTGCCACGTGGCCTGGGCTTGATCAACCACAGGGTTGCACTTGAACCTACCAGAGGCTCTTAGATTTGCATTCCAGAACTTTGGTCAGACCAATTGGAATTATTAGAAAGGGAGGGTCTTCTTTCGTCCACTGGACTTGAATCTGGGCAGAGCCCCGGGCAGCTGGCTCCGCTGCTCCAGACCAGTCGCGCGACTAACAGTGTTGGCGCTGAGCAATCCCTGTGTTCCAAGCCAGCTAGACCCAAAAGGGTTTTTAATCTGTTAGCGCTACGCTGTGTCTTCTCTGCCGAAGGGCTTTCTCTGGCCCGGGCCCTTCCGCTGGCATATTCATGGGACGGGCAGAGTGCCAGGAGAATTAATGTTCCCTGGGTCAGTTCCATCAGTGGCCAACTGGGTTTGGATCGGAAACCCCAGCTTCCTCTCTCCCCTTGGTTAACAGATCTCTGAAGTGCGGAACGAATTAACCATGTCAAGCTATTATTTGTTAATCTACCTTTGGAGGATGATTTTTGTGTGCGTAGTGTACCATATATTTATTTGTGTTTGCATGACTATTATGTATAGTCCATACATGTATATATAATATTAGATACACGTGTATTTGTGTTTGCATGAATATATGTACATACATGCATGGGCATGTGTATAGCAGTCATACAAATGCACATACGATTCATATTTTCTATTGTTAACACCCCTGACTTGGGAGTGCTATTGTCTTAGTGTCAACGGAAAAAAAAGCCAAAGCCTGCAAAATAATTTTAAAGAGGTTTATTCTGAGCCAAATTTGAGGACCATGACCCGGAGCCACTGCCAAGAGGCCTTGGGCAAGTGGACTCGCTGTGGCTGGGTCACAGTTTGGTTTTTATACATTTTAGAGACAAGAGTTACGGGTAAAGCCATCCATCAATGTGTGGGAGGCATACATTGGTTTGGCCCAAAAAGGAGGGCCATCTCGAAGGGGGGGAGGCTTCCAGGTTATGGGTGGGTTTAAAGATTCTTTAGATTGTAATTGGCTAAAGACAGGAAGCTTTGTCTAAAGACCTGGAATGTTTTCACATAAACTGTTTACAAGTGATAAGCCACCATTTGTTGCATAAATTGAGGGCCTGCAGGTGTGTCTTGCAAACCCTTAGGCCTGTCAATGGGTTACAAAGGAAGTCCCCAAGAAGGGAGGGGGGCATGATGAGGCCTGTCTGACCTCCCTCCTCCTGGCAGGCAACTTTGCCCTAGAATATTCCTTTGGCCACGAGGGGGTCCATTCAGTCAGTCAGCCGGTGGGGTGGGGGTGAGCATTTTAGTTCACATTAGCATCCTTCCTAGCTCAGTTGTAGAATGCTAATTCTAGAATTTCTGCTTGATTTTTTTTTTATTATTATTTCAATCTCTTTGTTAAATTTATCTATAGGCTTCTGAATTCCTTCTGCGTGTTGTCTTTAAGTTCATTGAGCTTCAGGATGTTTGTTTTGAATTCCTCGTCTGCAAGGCTATCTAGCTCCATCGCCCTGGGATTGGTCACTGGTGCCTTAGTTTGGTGAGGTTGTTGCCGAAAGCTTGGCTACTTGTCCACTGGGGGGCCGAATAACAAAGACGAGCAGTTTGAGGAAGAAGGAAAGAGTGAGTCTATTTTGCTGGCAGGGGAGGGAATATGGTAGACCTTCTCATCTCAAAATCCCCCAAATTTCCCAAACACAGGCAGAAATACAGAGCTTTTAGAGGGAGGGTTCTCAGCTTTAGGCGATTACTGTGATTAATTATCTTAATCCTGCCACAGACAAAGCCTGTGAACTCCCACCAGCCGCCCACCTGGGGGGCTGGAGCCACCTGGGAGTTTTAACCAAAGCCTTCTCCTGCCTCAGGGATGCAGGCCAGACTGCGATTCCCAAAAGAGTGGGGGTTTTGGGGGCACATTCCTAAGGAGACAGAAAACCTCCTTGCCATTTCTTCCCAGGCCATTCTCTGTTACGAGGTCATGACTTCCTGGACGCTCTTGATCCTTGTGGATATTTGTTGATGTCTAGCCACTGAGGAGCTGTTTAAAGCTTCATAGTCGGGCTTACCTGAACCTGCCCTTCCGGATACTCAGAGGGAATCGAGTGTCGTGGTCACAGTCTTTGGTCGCTGCAGTCGAATCGGCACGGGAGGTGCTCCAAGCCCAGTGATGCTGTGACTCTTGCAGACTCCTGGTGGCACCACCGTGGTGACCTTGGGTAAGACACAAGGGAATCCCCTGGGTGACCCAGGCAAAGTCTCTCACTCTCTTCTCTCTCTCTCTCTCTCTCTCTGTGCCTGGCTGCTTTAGGTAGAGGCGGAGTGACATGGGCAACTCCCTCCTGGCCACCACTGCCAGGACACACTGAGGCCAGCCCAGTCTGGGCCAGAGCCAGTGGCGACTGCTGCCTGGCTACCTCAGTTAGGGACCGACCTTCCACAGCCCCACCGGACAGAAGAGCAGAGGCATCGAGGATGCAATCACACAAGAGGAGGTTTATTTTCTGGCTAGCCAGGGTCCAGGCCCCAGAGCACCAACGCAGTGGCCACTCTGGCAGGCAAGGACCCCGGCCGGAACCATGGCATGCCTTTTATCCCCACGGTGCACGAGCTGCGCACAAGCTGATCACGCGTGGATCATGCGTTGACCTTTAAAATGATTGGTTGCCCACTGTTGCCTTTTGAAATAATTGGGGGGTTGGTTGCCCTCTATTGCCTGATGGGCCAGTCGCCCCTGCTTCAACGACCTTCATCCCAAATTCCATACAGCGGCGTAGCAAGCAAGCAATGGCCAGAAGCAAAGGTTTGCGGTTAGCTCATTGCCCCACCCAAGTAAATTCCCGACAATTGGAAGAATTTGAGGACTGAACTCTAATTTTTTGCTAAAAACTCCTTCCTAAGGAGGCCAGCAGGGTTAGGCTGGCAAACGGTAAATTCCCACTAAGCGGCTTTTGTTAACCAAACGAAGCAGTGGTTTACTTCCTGACCTGATTCTGTATGGCATTAACATCACCTAAAAAGATAAGAAGCCCTGTCTTAACTCAAGCATCCTAGCAGATGCCTATTCTTAAATTTAAAGCATCTTAAAGCATCCTAGCAGGCGCCTATTGTAAATTTAAAGTGTCCTCCTGTCTGGACCTCCCAGCGTGCTCACACCCTTATCTTAAAGTAAGCATATCCTTTCTGGTCTTCTAGATAAAGACTAACTCTCTCAGCCATGCCAGCCAAAGAATCTCTAAACCCACCTATAACCTGTAAGCCCTGCTTAGAGATGTCCACCTTTTTGGGCCAAACCAATGTATGCCTCTTCATGTATTGATTTATGACTTTGCCTGTAACCTGTCTCTCTGAAAATGTATAAAACTGAACTGTGACCAGCCACAGCCAGCCACTTGCCCAAGGCCTTCTGGCAGTGGCTCCGGGGGTCATGGTCCTCAAATTTGGCTCAGAATAAATCTCTTTAAAATTATTTTACAGAGTTTGGCTTTTTTCCCCGTCGACAAATTCTTCTGCCATTCCTGTCCTACAAATTCCTCTGCCCTTCCTCTGCCCTACAGATTCCTCTGCCCTTCCTCTGCCCTACACCTCTGATGTCTATTCCAAGCCCAAGGGCTACTTAGGCAGCAGGTGGTGAATCCGCCGGGGACTGGGTCTCTCCCTCGGGGCATCGTGCTTCCTTCTGGCCCAGGGGGGGTCCAGAATTGTGGTCCAGGAACTACGGCCACTGGACTCAGGAACCTCCAGGCCTTGGTTGGCTTGGTGCTTTCTTTCTCTGTGGCTGAGCCGGTGCCCACGTTGCAGAGCAGTCCTCTGGGCTCCCCCCTTTCCTTTCCTCCGGTGGAAGAAGACTCTGCCTGAGTCCCACTGCCCGTGGTTGGGGCACTGGCCTGGCCGCAGCTGCTGGTGTCCCACTGGGGGGTTCACGTGCACCCCAAGTCCAGGAGCCAGCAGAGCATCAAGAATTGCCCAAGGACTGCAGCCTTGTGGCCCAACTGCATTGTGAAGTTCGCCCCGGCCCCGGCTGCTTTTTTGCCAGTCCATGGTGGGGCTGGCGGGAACTCAGGCTCCAGGACAGAGGATGTCCCTCAGGACGACCCGGGTTTCCACGCAAAGCCCCATAATCGCTTCACTCTTCCCGCCCCCAAACCCAGCAGCTGGTGGCACCGCTGGGGGCTGGGGGAGGGCAGGGTGAGCCATGCAAGAGGGCCTGTCTGCCCTCCTCAGTGCCTCTTTGCTGGAGGTAATATTAAAAGCAGGTAGATCGATCGCTCACCTGATTTTTGGTTCTTCTGAGAGTGTTTGATTTCGTGGTAGTTGTTGAATTAGGTGTTTTGTCTGGAGAGGTGATGGCTGGGGCTTTCTATTTGGCCCTGTTGTCCTAGAATGTGTGTTTTTCAAGTAAGGAGATATCCTTAGTTAGGTTAAAAATAAATGGAGAAAATACAGAAATGCTTGTCTCTTAAGCACTTGGATTTTTGAGGTCAGGAAGCACACCTTCAAGAGCCACGTGAGCAGGCTCATGAAAAACAGTGGCTATTCTCCTAACCAGCAAGCCTAGACCGAGGGCAGTGGAAGGCTGAGGTCAAGGCCTGCAGGCTCACAGTGATCTAATATCATATCTGGGCTCTTGATGTGAAGAAAACCAGGCCCAGGCTTCCCTTGCCCTGGGGCTGGGCGCTTTGCGTTTTGGTTTGTAAGCTGTCTCCACCAGGATTCTAATCTATGTGAGAATTTTTGCATTGTATGAATAACACCCCAAAGGCTTTAAAAGAGAAAAAAATATGCACAATCCGACACAAAGGTTTATGGGTTTCAGCGCCAAACAGTACAATGGGGAGGTTTTTAAAATTAATTTGTATTCTAGGTAGCACAGCATGGAGTATTTGAGGCATTTAAGAATTTTTTTTTTTTTTTTTGAGACAGAGTCTCACTTTTGTTGCCCAGGCTAGAGCGAGTGCCGTGGCGTCAGCCTCGCTCACAGCAGCCTCCAACTCCTGGGCTCAAGCGATCCTCCTGCCTCAGCTCCGAGTAGCTGGACTACAGCATGCCCACCATGCCCGGCTAATTTCTTGTATATATACTTTTAGTTGTCAATTAATTTCTTTCTATTTTAGTAGAGACGGGTCTCGCTCAGGCTGTTTCGAACTCCCGACCTCTAGCAATCCGCCCGCCTCGGCCTCCAGAGTGCTAGGATTACAGGCGTGAGCCACCGCGCCCGGCCTAGAATTTTAAGTATGAGGGCATTTAAGAATTTTAAGTATGAGAGAATGTGCTGATTGTGGAAGCTTTTGGCTTGAAATAATAGTGTATCAGAGTTTAGAACAGGTGGGGAAACTTACCTTTTCTTTTTAACTGGAGAAAATGTTGCGAAACTGAGTTTTGCCTTGCCCACGCAGGGGTACTAAGAAACCAAATCACCAGCCTCCATCTCTGCTAAAGAGCTCTGCATATGCAATAATTGCAGTCACTTCTGCACATTCAGTACGAGCCACCGTGTGTGTTTGTAAACAACCAAAAGACCCAGCTAAATCTTGAGCAATACACAAATGAGCCATCTTTGAGAATGCCAGTCGCCTGCTAATAAGTTTCTCAAATTGCTCTCTAGCACTAATTGAAACCATAAATCCTCATCACATTCAAAGCCTAACCACCGTCTACCATTAGCTCACTTCAATTCTTAATGTTCTTTCTTCTGGGGCACTTTCTTGCTGTATGCTTCTTCCCCTAGGAGTAGCTACATTTATTATTGCAATTCAAATACCTTGAGAGATTCCTGTCGGAGAGCTATATAACATCTCTCTAAGCATGTCAATGCTAGGGCTGCCCAATAGAAACATCTACCCCATCCCATTGGAACACGGTAAAAAAAAAAAAAAAAAATGTCAGTGCATGTATTGAAAGAATATTTAAATTCTGTTTCGTTAAGACAGGCTTTTTCTCTTATATAGCGTAGCAGGTAGGAGGCGGCTATGGGTTGCCTTGTTGACAATTTACCAGACCAAGAAAAATGGCTTCACGGACCCTCTGACAGCTTTATTCTTGCAGCTGTGGCAGAAAAAACAGGCAAAAAAGATTGCAGAGGCGGATGAGTGGAATGCAACACACAAGTCCAGAAAAAATATTAACTGGTTTGTAAAATGAGTGGGAGAGGGTGTAGTAAAGGAACTGGCATTTCAGTTATATAAAAATCACTTATTGCAACATTTTTATAGCCAAATTATGCTCCCTTTCTGTGCTGTATCTTTGGGTCAGAGAGATGACCAGCTGAGCAAGAGCGAGACCCCGCTCTACATAAATAGAAAGAAATCAATTGGCCAACTGATATATAATATAAAATTAGCCGGGCATGGTGGCACATGCCTGTAGTCCCAGCTACTCGGGAGGCTGAGGCAGGAGGAGCCTTGAGCCCAGGAGTTTGAAGTTGCTGTGAGCGAGGCTGACGCCACGGCACTCACTCTAGCCTGGGCAACAAGAGACTCTGTCTCAAAAAAAATAAAATAAAAAAAATAAATAAATGTCAGGCAATTTAAATTCTTTCCTTTTCAAGATTTTTAAAAGAGCTCCCCATTCTATAAAATAATGATCAAACATGTCTTTTTTTTTTTTTTGCATTTAAAATTCTAAATAATCTGCCCTAGCCTATTTTTTTCCCCTTGATGACCCATTAGTTAGTGTACCTAGCCTCTCACAATTAGTCATGCTTATTTCCTGCTGGTCTATGCAATAACTCTTTGTGTCCATCACCTCTATATCTTGAATACAATGCTACTTCTTTCTAGAATGAGCTTTCCCTTTACTTCTACCTATTTGGCACTTAACTGTGTTTTTCCAGAACCGTGCCGAATGCCACCTTCCATGAACCTTCCCCAGCCTTGCTGTTGGGACTCCCTCTCTCCTGCCCCATT